CCTCCCATTCATAGCGCTGGAGGCCGTGGCACTGAATGTATTGCCGACCGATCCGCTCGCGCCACTGCTTGCGGCCAGGCGCCTGCGGCTCGGGATCGAAGACCGCGCCCCAATGTGAGGCGAGGGCGGCCGCCTTGTCCAGCGGGGCGGTCACTGTGCCACGCTGCGTCTTGACCAGGAGGAGCATTAACGAAAGGAAGGACAGGAGGAGGAGAAGACGAGGTGGTGGGGCGGACGTGAATGACCATGAGCGGGAGGAAGATGCTGAGGAGGGCAATGGGGGAGTAGGAGGAGGAACATCAGGATGGGATAAGGGCGGAAGAGCAAGGAACATGATAGAGGCCACGTCGTTGGCCTCGTCCTGCTTATCGTCTTCAACCTCACCGTCGTCGTCCCCTTCCTCGCCTCCGCCCGCAACCACCGCCGACGTCGCCGCCATCGTCGTCGTCCTCCTCCTCTTCTTCGTCGTCTCCGTCGTCGAGGAGGACAAGGATGACGAGTGACATGCTTGGTGCTGCCGGTGATGCTGATGATGCTGATGATGATAATGGTGATGATGATGATGCTGATGCTGCTGCTGCTGCTGCTGCTGCTGATGATGATGATGATGATGATGATGATGATGATGATGATGATGATGAGAAGGAGGAGGAGGAGCACAAGGACAAGGAACGTGAAGAAGGCACCAAATCACCATGAACCCCGCGAGAGCAATTCCAAAACGTACAGCTTCTCATGCGGCTAACGCTGAGGAGCAGAAGCCGACCTCCCGTTCAGCCCGCCCACCCCCCCGCGATAATGCCACCAGGCCTCCAGGCGCAGGTGGTCAGAGAGTCCGCTCATCCAAAGCTCTCCCTTCTTCCCTCGGGCGAGGGGGAGGGGGATGACCAATTAGGGCGTCCAGGAGTGTCCCCAAACGATGACCCTACGATGGCCTCCAAGACAACCCCAAATTGCCGCACACGGCCTCCAACGCTGCTCCAAGAGACTCAACAAGATGGCTGCGAGGTGATCCCGTGGCTTCCCAGGATGCCTTGGGGGAATACAGCACTTCCTTGAACAAAACACGAAGTACCACTGATGATGTGAATTGCTCGACGCGTGGATCCCCAAATATGCACCTGCAGTCTTGAGCATGTCTTGATGAGAGCTGGAGAGCGACGAACATTGTGAATGAGACTTGGTGTGAGCGGGTCCGAGTGTGACTGAAGGCATCTGAATATCTGATGGTAGGTGGGTCTGAGTTTGAGCGAATCTGTGTATGAGTGAATATTAGACATGGCGTGCAAGGGGCGATCGATCTGCTCTACTGAAATGAGGACAAAGCCCCTCACCATCACCACGACATCACATGTCCACCTCCGAAAATTGCAAATCTACCTGAGATGCCCAACTAACCTTGATGCGGAACAGGCCCGTACCATACTCCGTGGCCGCTCCCGCTTGGAAGACCCGGCTGCGATACCCGCAAAATCGTGGAGATCGTGCAGCTCTGAAAAGGAACGCGTCTACATCCAGAAGCAGCCATTATACATGGGAGTTCCCGGCATTGTCGATGCGAGCGAGCCCGCATCACACCTCGTGGCGGCAACACCGCGGGAGCCCCAAATCGGATGTTCCTGTATCGCGGAGATAATGGGCTTCTGAAAAGAGACGCGTTTACATTTGAAGACGGCATTTCTTCCTAAGAGGCCCCGCCAACCGGGACGCGAATGGGCCCGTAGGGTACCCCTCCCGCTCGGGAGACTCAACTACGATGCCTGCACATTCACACAGATCACGCAGCCATGAAGGGGGTCACGTCCACATACACGATCAGACGGCCAGTCCACCTCAGAGGTCCCAACATTCTTAACGCGAGCGGGCTGTCATACCCACTGGCGGCTCCCCCGTGGGAACCTCCAGTGGGATGTCCGCAACATCGCGAGAACCATGGGGCTATGAACAGAGACTCGTCTACATCTGACCACGGCTATTCTACAATGGAGCCGCACCAATCGTATCGTTCCCCAAATAGGCTTGCCTAAGAGGTTCTCACTTGGTTAAAAGGTGGTGCCTGCTAGTACTACGTTGCCCGTTGCTCGGAGGTTCCCTAGTTCAGGTTACGTTGCCCGTTGCCTGATGGCAAACCATGACAACCAGAGCCAAGCAAGGTCCCCCGGGTGCCTCATGCCAAGCAACGCCAAGCAACGCCGAGCAATGCCGAGCAATGCCAAGCAATGCCAAGCACTGCACACATGCAGTAGGAAACCTTGCCAACATTGGGGTCGCACCGGTCTCATTGTTTGTTAAGGCGCCACCGAACAAAATCAATGAGAAAGCCTTAGAATCATACACAACTGGCATTCTCTGTCTACCGGCACAGAAAAGGAGATGGGCGGAGGAAGGAGGCAAGAGGGAGGGGTGGGCAGCGTTGCTGCCAAGCTGCTGCGTCACGTACCTGTACATCAAACACGTAGCAGCAAAAACACAGCACCAGCGAGTTGAGAGATGGTGGAAGGGTGAGAGGGAGGAGGGGGGAGAGGAGGCGAATTCGTGTCACGCATTTCCGCCCAATCGGCGGATGACCTCGACCGTCTCGGTCGCAAAAAGGATCGGGTGTAACAGTGATTGAATATGATTACTGATGAGTCTGATTCTGAGTGAGCCCCAGTCTGGGAGCGCGTGAATCTGAGCGTGAGTATGTCTGAATATGGGTCGGTCTGGAAGTGAGTGAGTCTGAGCGTGAGTGTGTCTGAAGGTGAGTGGGTATGATTTTTGTATTGGCGGAAACGAATCCGAATGGATCGGAACACGTATCGGACCATGCACGGTTCATCCGGATTCGTGCGACCGATCACGAGCTGTGTACGAACGACTGAACATGATTGAGCCTACGTGTGGATGGGCCTGGGTGGGGTGGATGAGGCGGGAGTGCGAAAGAGTGATGCGTAGGGTCCCCAGTCAGCACAAACACCACATACTTTGGGCACGAGGGATACCCACCGCGGCAATGCACCCGAACAGCAGGGCGATGGGAAGGGCACGGGACACTTTGGCTCAAGGGCCCCGCCCCAATCGCGCGGTGCGCCCGGCGCTTCAAGGGGAAGAGTGGCGATACAGGGCGCGGCAAGGGCGGTGCATGGAGTGCGTCGGAGGCGCCGGGGCGGCGTTGCCGCCGCTCCCCCCGCGGCCGGGGCTAAATCGCTGCAGGATCGCAGTGCCGATCCCGATTGGCGCTGCCGCGGCGCTGGCGCCAGGGGCCCGGGCCGCCCCATGCCACCGAGCAGCGCCAGGGCCAGCGACCGCAAAGGGCGGAGCGGCAGCGGCTGGGCCCACGGCGGATCCCCAGCGGTGGACCGCGTTCGCCGAGCCCCCAGCGTGGCCCAGCGCGCTCCCCGCCGGCGGAGGGCCCTCGCCCGCCGCGCTGGGGCTGCGGGCGCAGCCGCAGCCCCTGTCGCCGCCGGCGCCTCGGAAGCCCGCCCGCTCCGCCGCCGCCGACCAGGCCGGCGCCAGCGACGCCGCCGCAGCCAGCGAGGCCGCGGGAGGGCCCCTCCCGCGCGCCGATGGCGCAGGCCATGGCGCTGCCCAAGGTCGACGGACGAGTGCTCCTACGTCGGCGAGTCGGACGAAGAGGCCGATGGGGTTCCGCGAGGTCACCCCTGTCGATGCCGATGATCACTCCGTTCCTTCTCCCCCGCCGTCCCAGAGGTTACCGTCGATCTATGTTTGACTTCCTTTTTGTTCAATCCGCGGCCCTAGAGAACCCGACATGTTCCCTGGGGCTCGGCTTCTAAGCCCAGGGCTTATTTTTGATGGCCAAGGGCCTGATAACGGGCCTTCGAGGCTGAAGTCGAGGAAATGCACTTGGACGGAACATATAATACCGTCGGATATTCGGGGCCACCGTTCCACGTCCCCATCATCCTCTCTTGCTCCTGCTCTGCGGGCGGAGGCGGAGGCGGGAAAGGGCCGCCTCCGCGGAAGGCCCCCCGGCAGCAGAGCCTGAGGCGGCGGCGCAGTGTCAGGCCGAGGAGCCTCTTGTTGGACCGCCAGCGGGCGCGACGGGATGCGACGCCGCCGGCGGAGGCCGCGCGGGCTCGGTTCGGGCGGCTCTGAAAGTCGCGGGCTTGCAGGGCTTCGCCGCCAGGGCAGTCCCCGAGGCCGTGCTGGCCCAGCGGGGCGGCCCCGTTGCCTCAAGAGGGCGCCCCGCAGCAGCGAGAGCGGCTGCGCGCCCAGCGGGGGGGGGGTCGGGCAGCAGCGGCTGGGAGGAGGCTGGCAGCCGCCCGCCCAGGCAGCCAGCGCCGCCGGCGTGGCCGCCGCGCGCGCCCCCGGAGCAGCGCTCGCGGCAGCGGCAACGAGGCGCGGGAACGCTCGGCGCAGCCAGCGCCCGCGCCAGAGCCCTCGGCCCCGGCGCAGCGGCACGGCGCGGCAGCTCTGCGACAGCTCTGGGCGGACGCGGCAGGTGGCGAGGAGGAGTTCATGGACCCAGCATCGCGCATTGCAGGCCCTGGGGCCCCGGCGACGCCAGCGGCCCCGGCTCCGACGGTCGTTGCCGCGCCCCCGTGGCCACGCCAGGAAGCCCCGGCCATTGCGGAAGCGAGCTGGCATGATCCGGCAGCTGGTGACGGCGTGGCCCCCGGTGCCTGAGGCCCTAACTGCTGCGCAGCTCCCCCAGGTGGCGCCTCCCTTCACCTGGGACGTACCTTCGTTACCAGGATCGTGCCCCCGTTGCCTGGAACGCTGGTTCGTTCGATCGTGGGCGAGGTCGCGGACCGGTTCGGTTTCTGCGGCGTTCGCTCGCGAGTGAGCGACTCTGTCGAGACTGGGAGATAGACTGCATCAACGAGATGAGCAGACGTGAAGGAGAGACCGTCAGCAATGAATATTCCTACACGCAGGGAGAGCGGTAGAGAGAGCGCATGCTTGGATCGGACATCAGCGCGCCTGCGACAAGGAAAAGTCACATCACGCGCAAGCCAACCTGGCTGCGGCGTCTGTCGAAGCCAGACAAGTGTAGCTCAGGCGTCCGCCAAACAGTCGCCCCTAGCATCGAGGGCCTTCCTGGCGGCGCAGGGCGACAATCCCAGGCCGCCACCAAAGCCTGGACACGCAGCGCAGTCGGATCAGCACCGTTGATGCTGTCGTGGAAGAGAGCCGGGCCACTTAGATCTGTGTGGTCAAGGAAGCCCGTGACCGTCTTGGCGGCCCGCGCCACCACCTCCTCGCGCCTGCTCGCGCGCCTGCCGCGCAGCTGCCGCCTCATCCTCGTCGTTCTGCCAGCTCGGACCAGTAAACCTCGGGGCCATGACGTCGCGCGGATCAGACAGGCGACAATCCGCGCGGAGCAGGCGCAGGTCGTCGGCAGAAAGGCCCACGGCGGCCACAATGGCTCGGCGAGCGTAGGTCTTGGCGTGAGCGTGCTTCGTGGTGGCGGAGCGCGCCCCCATCAAAACTTTCGGCCTTCCCTGGGGCCCCTCCTGGACCCTGTTCAACAGAAGTGCGTCGGCGACGCCCTCGGGCAGGACGCCGGCGCGCGTCTGATGGTCGAACTCGGCTAGATCTACATGCCCACCTTCCTCTAATGCGGTTTCTAGGAACTCTCTTATCAGGGGGGCTCGCGGGCCCCGCCGCCTTCTGCGAGTCGGCGCCGCCGAGCATGCTTTTGCCGAGGCTTGTGCCCCCGGCGATGAAGAGCACTGGGCGCCTCCACATTGGGCCCCCAGCGAACTCCTCGACAGAGTCATTCGCGACGGGGTGCTCGCGAGGCTCGGCGTGCGCGCCTGCGTTCTCCAGGCCCTGCAGCCCCTGCCGCGCGTTGCTCTGCGCGCTGCTCGGCCGCGCGCCCCTTTTTCATATCGAGTGGCCGACGGGGAACGGGTCCCAGACATGCGGGTGCACTTGTTGAGCTTGGTCTTGCCGTCGTCGAGCGAGCCCCAACCATCGGGCATCTGGTTTGCGCCGCTGGCCCGCAGGATATTTCGTCTCCGCGTGAAGCCCTCCAGCCGTAGTTGACAGAAACGCACCAGGATCCGCGGCGGGCATCTGCGCGCGGAGACGCGGTGGCAAGCGCGGCAGCGCGCGCGTCCACGCGGGACCGGAATCCCTTGAAGTAGACAGGGCCCAACGCACGCACATCAAGACCAACTGCGTCAGTCCGCAAGAGGTGCCAGTGAAAATGGTGTCGCCCTGCGCCCTGCGCTCGCAGCGACTCCTAGCCCGCGCTCCGAAACGCGTCTTCAAGTTCGGGCGAGACGTCTTGAACGCGCCGAAGGACGTGGCCGCGATGGACAGCTGATTGTACGTCAACATGAAGGTTTTCGACTTGAGCTTGGAAGTTGGCGCCAGGGCGCGGCGGCGGCCAACAGGTGACGGCGTAGAGTAATCTTGTCCCAGCACAGGTGCAGAGAATGCGCCTCCAATATCCATCCACTGTAGTGCAGAGGTGCGAAGGCTTTCCATGGCAAGTTCTGCGGCGATCCGAACTTCCAGAAATCGCACGACACGCAACGCATCCTCGTCTCGAGCAGCCAGGGCCGGCACCCTGCTGCCAGGTAGGTGAATATGCCCAGAGGGCGTGTTCTGCATCATGCATCACGTCTTATCTTGCTTCGCTGCACTTGTGCCGCCCGCTTTGCCCTGGACTACGCCTTCGCCTTCGCACGGCCGCGACGTTGCGTCGGAGGCATCTCGGCAGCGCGAAGAAAGCAGCCGGGGAAGGCAAGCGATCGAGATCATTGGGGGCAAATGGCTACGGTGCGACGACGCTGGCGGTGACAGTCCTGATGACGACGATGACGATTATGATGGCCCGGCAATGACAATCACCTCATACCAGGAGGAGCGCGTCATACATGCTTCGGGACGACCGCCTCCCTTCAGCCAAGGAACGGTTCTGATGCCGCACTGTTCTGGGCGTCTCGTGTAACACTTGTCTGCCATCTGGTGGATTCACAACTGCGGGCAGACTGGTGATAGGCTGGCTCTGGTTAGAACGCATGCGTGCCCATGCTCGCTTGCGCTCGGACCCTGTCTGACTCAGCGGCCGACGCTCGCACTCACTCGTACGCCTACGCGCTCGCACTCGCAGCACGGCTGCATGTCCAGACCCCGCTCGAACGCAGACGCACTCCTGCTCAAGTTCGCTTGCGCCCAGACACACCCAGTCAGAATCACTCTTCCAAGATCACTCGCGCTGACGTCTGCGCATGCCCAAACCCACCCTTTTCCGAACCCCTTTCACATCCAGACCCAACCGGTCTCGCCCCGCGCAGGGGCTCACCCGCACTGAGCCGATCAGACCGACTACGCCCCGCGCAGGGGCCCACTCGCACAGAGTCCTGTGGTTTCCCCGGGGTGACGCCCGGAGGGCGCGCGCGGAGCCTCGCAAAGACCTTCAACCACTCGGGAGGCTGAGGCCCCCACAGGGACCCACCACCTGTCCTTGCCGTTGAGGCCGTGCCGTCGGTGATCCCGCATTGGTGAAGGCCCCGTTGGGGTCTTGACGCGCCCTTTGGTGGACGTCTACTGGGCAAAAAAACGTATCAGCAAACATTCATAAAGGTGCGACAGCGCGCGGGCGAGCACATTTTGGGGCAGCCACGCCAGCAAGAGCGATGCGGCAAGGATTTCGCGAGTGGGGCGGCGACTCAAATCCTAAGAGGAACCTGAGCCTGTACGTAGGGACCGTTTGGAAACGGGTTTTTAGCTACGTCCCCGACTCTCTCGCAAGTGAGCTGGTGCCTTCTGTCCTTTTTTCTGTGCTATCGACCCTCGCATGTTCAGCTGGCGGCGCCAAAGCCATACTGTGCTCTACCTTTACAAAACCAGCGTCGCCGAAGGGAATCTCCGCATTGTAGGACAAGGAGGAAAGATGATGATGATGATGATGATGATGATGATGATGATGATGATGATGATGATGCTGATGCTGATGCTGATGCTGATGCTGATGCTGATGCTGATGCTGATGCTGATGGTGATGGTGATGATGGCGATGATGGTGGTATTGGTGATGGTGATGTGGATGATGATGCTGATGCTGCTCCTGATGATGATGATGATGATGATGATGATGATTATGGTAATGATGCTGCTGATGATGAAGATGACGAGGATGATGATGCTGACGATGAGTATGCTGAAGCTGCTGCTTCTGACGATACTGATGCTGATGACCCTGATGCAGATGCGGATGATGCTGACGATGATGATGCTGGTGCTGATGATGATGATGATGATGATGATGATGATGATGATGATGATGATGATGATGATGTTGGTGAGGCTGATGCCGATAATGATGATGGTGATGATGATGCTGGTGATGACGCTGCTGCTGATGATGCTTATGATGACGATGCTGCTGATGACGACGGCGATGATGAGGGTGCTGAGGAGGAGGAGGAAAAGGAGGAAGAGGAGGAGGACGACGACAACGACGACGACGACGAGAGAGGTGGGAGGGTCCCCGAGCGCGTAGACCACCGGCTGGGCCGACAACCTCTCGACAACCACTTTGAGGGGTTCCTCAGGGGCAAAGGGGGCTCGCGGTCGCGGCCGCCCTTCCAGTCCACTCCTCTTCCTCCTCCTGGCTTCCCCTGCATTTCATCGTAAAGAAAACCTGGTATACTCAGCCAACAAACGGGGTTACCACGAAACCACGGGCGGCAACTGAGCGATAACCTTTCACAGCCAGCCAACGCACGGGGCGCCCACGAGGCCCCCGCATACGGCCACTGGGCGAACCCGGCACACCAACCTTGTGCAAGCGCTGTCTGGGGGAAAGTCCTCCGCCTTCTCCTTTGTGCAGCCAATGCTTGGGGGCAGATCTTTGCGCAAGCACTCGCACCTTTGTGCAAGCATTCTTTGGAAATGAATCCTCTGCCTCATCCTTATCCTAATAGTCTTGTTCTTGCGTCCCTCCTCTCATTATCCTCCCTCCTCCGACTTGCCCCCGCCCCTGTCCCCTTTTGCCATCGCCCCGATCTGGTTCGGGATCGTCGTCCTAGTTGAGTTCTTGTCGCAAACGAATAAAAACTGTTGTTCCCACCCTCATGATCCCACCTCAGATATCTTGAAGTGTCCCTCTGGGGGCTCCCACCCTGATTTTTACGAGGGGGAATATTGAGTTTCAGACTGCGTGTAGGCCCGGCTACAACGACAAGGTCTGCCGCTCGACACTTCCGCACAATTTACCTTGGGACACCTTGGCCAGAGAGGCCCCCGAGCTCAGGAATCGCTCTCGCTCGAGACTCTCTCGCAATTCAGTCAACTTGGCGGAGACCCAGCCACGACGACAAGGGCTCCTGCTCGATACTTCCGCACGATTTACTCCGAGAGCCCCTGGCCAGGAAGGCGCCCAAACTCAGGAACGGCGCTGTCGCTCCAGACGCTGTCGCGATTCAATCAAATTGGTGGAGGCCCAACTACGACGACAAGGGCCCTCGTTCGATACTTCGTAAACATGTATTCCCAGAGGCCCTGGCCAACGAGGCCCCGAACTCAAGCGTGGCGCTCTCGCTCCAACCTTTCAAATACTTCAGGCAATTTGGGGGAGGCCCAAACACGGCGACAAGGGCTCCCGTTCGATATTTCCAAATTTGAATTCCGATGGCCCCTGGCCAGAGAGGCCCCCGAATTCAGGGACGGCGCTCTCGCTCGAGTTCCTCAGGCGACAAAGAAGAGATCCCCTCCGAAACGGAATGCAATCGAAGACGATGTGGGCGGGCATCGAGGGTTGGGGTATACAGAATAGTGGAAATGCGCGCCAATAATAGCGAACAGTGTTCAAATGATTGCTGTTGTTATTGCTGCTGCTGCTATTGTTGTCGAGTTCTCTTTTCTCGAGAATCTGCGTTGTTGGCCCCCCTCCCGCCCTTCGGTGCCCATTGTGTTTGTTCAATAGAATTGTCTATCCTGGAGCCCGCGCGTTGCTTTTGCAATGGGAAGTCTTGCGCCTCAGATGTGCCCACTGATCCCCCCTCACCGGTGCACGTGTGACTTTTCACTTGAAGCGCCCCCTCGGGGCTCGCACCCTGTTTTCCATCAAAGGAGAAATTCCTGCCCAAACTGGGCCGTTGGGCACCGAACTTCAGCGACAACGACCCCTGTATTATACTTCCTCCCGATATATTCCGAAATCGCGCTCTCGCACAGTCCTTCCCCACAATGCATGCAGGAACCGCGCTCGCAGTTTATACAGACGCCGCGCCCTCAACGCTGATTTGGCCTTTCTTGCGATTTCCTCGGGTATCGCGCCATCGCTGGAGACTTACCCGCGATTCATGCAGGACTCAGACTTCAGCAACCCGCCTGCTTGATCTGGCCGCACGGGCCCGCCTTTCCGACCCGCCCGCTCGGGTCTGCTCGCCCGATCTGCCAGTCTGGTTCTGCATGTGATTCTTGCTCCTGGCACCCCTCCTGATAAATATTCTCGTGTTCTATCCCTCTCCCTCCCCCTTCCATCCGTCCTCTCTTCCCCGGTTTTAGGGGCTGCGCTGCATGCGCGTGGCAGGTCAGGAAGACATATCCCAGGGGGATACGATCGAAGACGAAGAGGGCGGGTATCGAAGGCTTGGGATATACACGCCGAGTGGCACGAAGGCAGGTAGGAACGAGAGAGAGAGAGAGAAATATACATGACAAAAAGGACAGTGCACATCACAAGTGCGCTGGCATCGAGGTGGGTGAAACGCGTCGCGCTTTGACCGACCGTTTGCAACGGCGAGAAAAACCAAAGTCGCCTTGGAAGGGAGAGGGAGGGGAGAAAACATCACAACCGCAAGCAAGACTGTTTCGCAATGACTTGCCATGCGCCAGCTCAGTCTTGCCATCATGTGAACAAGGCTTCCTTACTGCTAGCTGCCATGCGTGACATCTCGAAGACTTTTAGCTTCCAGGAGCTCCTCGGTCTGCCACGTTTGCGGCGACCGCCCGGCCAGCGTAGATGAAAAGTCCCTGGCGCGAAAACGCATCGTCAGACAGCACTGCTCCCTGAAAGTTGTGCCACCTTGCCCATCGGCAGCATCTGGCTGGCGCAGCGCCAATTGAGCACTCAACCGTCGGCAATTGCACGTTCGCAGAACTGTACTGTTCGTGACTTGGCTAATGTATGAGCGCGATATTGCGGGGAGCTTGATTAAACATCTCGCTTGAAATGCGTCTAATGGATTGCGCTCTGCTTTCTTCAGCCATACGGTGTGCAAGCAATATATTAATGTGAGCACTACGAACGAAATCTAAATTGCCACCCTCTTTCTTCAAAGACATCCTTATCTGTTTCCACACCCTACACGATGATTCAACATCTCTGCGCGCCACTCTTACCCTCCTGCTCAGCTCAGGGCCGGTTCCCCCGTCGACACATGGAAGTATACCATACTGCCCCTGTGCGGTATGGCTCGACCATCTGCTCGTAGCAGCTGCGATTGACACTGCACAGGAAGTACTTCAAGCTTGCCCCAAATTAAGAGGTCAGCCATAGTGTTTCACAGCCTCCCGCACGTACTCCATCGACTGATGTGCGTATACGTGGTCATGACCGACGAGAAGTGTGTCATTCGCATAAATAAGTTCGCTGGTAGAAGGGCGCTGTGCTGTCGTAGCCCCAAAGACTCGACGTTAAGTGTCGCACCGTGCATCAGCACGCTTTTCAACATCGAAAACAAGGAAGGAAACAATGGACACCCTTGCGAACTGCCGAACGCCTGTGGCCAAAACTCCTGTGGCCTAGTTACTAGTTCCGCTTCGCGGGGCGGGAGGCCGGGAAAAGCGCAAGACATTGACGCTGGGGGACCAGCAAGTGGATAGCGTGTCGCGCCGTAGCGCAATGGGCCACAACCGACGGTGCGACACGCTATCCAGAAACTCCCGACCGTATTCCATCTCTTGCTCGTGCTCGTCGTCGTCGTCGTCGTCTTCCTCTTTGGGCCGCCGGTCCTTGCGGGAGCACTCGGGCACCCACCCCGAGCCGACGGCCAGCTTCAGGAAGGTCCTCCTCTCCGGGCCGTGGTGGCGCAACTCCTGACAGGCGGGATCGTCGCTGTCGTCGCTGTCGTCGTCGTCGTCGTCGTCGTCGTCGTCGTCGTCGTCGTCGTCCGCGTCGGCGACGTCGATGTCATCGTCGGAGGGGAGGCGAGTTTGGGTAGCGGATGTGGAGCGGGAGGTGGAGCAGGAGGGGGAGAGGAAGGAGGACGGGCGGGAGGAGTAAAGGGAGGACTGGGTGGATGATGAGGAGGACAAAGGAAGACCGTGGTGGAGATACCCGCCTTTCCCTCGCCGTCGTCTTTTGCCTCCTCCTCCTGCTGGTCCACCTCTTGCCCCTGGTCACCCTTCTCCTCCTCCCCCCCCTCCTCCTCATCCTCCTCATCACTATCAGAATAATCATCCTCCATGTTCGCTCTTCTCTTTCCTTGTCACTAGTCTGTTCTCTCGTCTTATCGACGACGTCCTCCGCTAAGTCCTCGTCAACCTGTTCCTCATCCCAGCCTCCTCAACCCTTCCCGTCCTCCGCCTGGAAGTCGTCGTCGTCGTTGCCGCCGTCGTTGTCGTCGTCGTTCTCGTCGTTGTCCCCTCCGCCTCCTCCTCCTCCTCCTCTTGATCATCACCTCTTCCTGCTTCTCGTCGTCGTCCTCCTCCTCCTCCTCGTCGTCGTCCTCCTACTCCTCCTCCTTGTCGTCGTCCTCCTCCACCTCCACCTCCACCTCCACCTCCTCCTCCTCCTCCTCCGCCTCCTCCTCCTCGTCCTCCTCCTCCTCCTCCTCCTCCTCCTCCTCCTCCTCCTCCCCCTCCTCCCCCTCGCTCATCTTGCTCTTCCTTGCCCCTCTTCCCTGGGCCTCGGGACCTTGCGACGCCTCACATGCCCAAGGCTCGGTCGGTTCAGCTGGCCGAGGGGCAGAGAAGGAGGATGAGGACGGAGAGGGGAGGAGGGGGTGAAGAAGGAGGGGGGGAGGATAAGGGGGGAATCGAATGGAATTGGCAGGAGGGAACGTCGAGAACCGCAGCGCAGTCTGGGGCTCCTCGTGGAGCTACAACGCGAAGACAATTTTCATCAACTTTGACAACAATATATACTCCGCGGAGACCTCCTCAAAACCCGGGGGAAAGAGGATGAGGAAACCACAAAATGCTGACACCGCTACGTTCAGGAACTTCTCCCCTCTCCGTCGCTGTCGCCCTTTTCTTGTGCGTCATCCTTGTCTTCGTCGTCGTTGCTGTCCTCATACGGCCGGGAACTCTTTGATAGCGCGTCGCGGCGTCGGCCCCGGCAACACGCTCTGCCCTGCGACCGGATGGCGCGTCGCTCCGCTCCGCGTGGAAGGAAGGTCCGTTCCGAGAATGGCTTGGGACGTTGACCAGTCGGGGACCGGGGAATGGACAGCGTGTCGCGCCGAAGCGTGGTGGGCCAGCGGCCAGAACCAGCGGAGCGACACGCTAAGCCATCGATGCTCTGGATGTGACAACAATCGGTCCCACCTTGAATCTGGGTGGGATTGGGTACGGGCTGTCGGAACGGGTGGAGAAGGGTGGGAGGAAGAAGAGAAGTAGGAGGAGGAGGAGGCGGAGGAGGAGGAGGGGGAGGGGGAGGAAGAGGAGGAGATATCACAGGGGAGGATGGGCAAACTCCGTCGGAAGGTCAATCACCCCCCCTTAATAACTACCATGCAAACGCCGATACCACGGGTTGCGTTCTGACAAGAATCTGGAAGCTAATCCCGCCGTGGCGACGCAGGCCTCCCCGACGGCGCCCCCTCGGCCTCCCGGGCGGCGGGGAAAGATGTGTGGGGCTCCCTGGCGGCGGGGGAGCGGTGGGAGGGAAGACGAAGACGACAACCCAAGGCACGAACTACACCGCGTTGTTCGTGATCGTTTTGTTTTCGTTCTCTCTCGTTCTGCCTTCGCTCGGTCGTTGCTGCAAAACGAAATCAAAACGAACACGGGTCACGAAATCGCCAATGCACCGTTTAGCTCGCGCCCTGCGACGACCCAAACATTCTGCGAATGGATCGATGGGCGGCCCGGCAACCCCAAAAAGTCACAGCCACTTCCTCGGGGCAAATTTCACCCCCAAATTTTGACGGTTCCTGGGCTCGACAAAAAATTCCGGATGCCGACATCGAAAGGAACCTACATTTGAACAAAACATAGATTCGGAAGTCTGGGGGGGACGGGGGCGACAGGGAGGAGTAACTAAGAGGGAAGCGAGAGAACAAGGCGGGGGCTGATGAGATGAGGATGTAGAAAAGACGAGAACCAGGGAACCCAAATGATACCTATACCGCTCTGCCTGGGCCTCCTCTGGGTTGCATTGTAAACGGAAATCCGGAGAGAATCCAGCCGTGGTGAACGAGGGCTCTCCAGGACAAGCAGCGGCATCGGAAAGAAAAGCGACGACGACGAGGACGAGGACGAAGGTGGAGGGCGCGGGCCCACCTCCCCAACGAAGAACGTCTGGCCCGGCGAGAGGTGCCCCGTCACCTTTGCCAAAACGTCTGGGCTCTCGAGCACGCCGACCTCTCGGGGGCCAACGGGCGTAACAATCGGTGCCTCGAGCAAAACTGTGGAGGAGGTGATGCCATACGTCCATCTTCTCTTCGTCTTCCTGTTTCTCATCCTGCTTTCTCTCTCGCTCTCTCTCTCTCTCTCCTACTCCCCGTCCTCATCATTCTGCGCCTCCTCTTTCCCCCGCTCGCTCCCTGCCCCTTCAGATTGATTCCATTATCGTGCCCACCTCGTTTCCTCCTCCTGGTATAGCACCCTTCATCCTTCATGAAGCCTCCTGCTCTTTTGCAAACTTCTCCCTCTCCCCCTCCCCCTCCATCCTCCTTCCTCGTCGTCCTTTCCCTTGTCTTTTGATAACGACCGAAAACAACATAATTGTCCGTTTGCCTTTGTGTTGCTGTGGGCTGCCACATGTGCCTGTTCTTCCCTCCTTCTCCTCCGTTTCCTCCTTGATGCAGAAACAAGTAACGGCATCATGATATGTTTTCGGAACTCCGGCCGCTTCAGTGATGCAATTATTTGTGTATCAAATTCAGCTCCTCCTTGTCCCTTTCGTGCTTTACTAACTAGTCTCCCCGATCCGCCTCGTCGCGCTCCTCCTGCCGCCCATCCCGCCGCCGTTCACGCAGCATGGACCCCCCCCTCCGCCAAAGGACCGCTTCGCCGAAAGCTTGCTTCGCCAGTGGCCCGCTTCGCAAAGGGTGCGCCTCGTCAGCTGGGCCGCTTCGCCTTCGCCGTCGTCCCAACGTTGTTTTGGAAGGTGGTCCGCGTGTTCCTGCGTAGGTGCTCGTCTCGTCCCCTAAATCCCTCCAGGTCCCACCCCTGCCCCCTGCCCGCCTCCCCCCCGCCGTCCTCCTCCTCCTCTCCTCCTCTTCTTCCTTACTCACTCCCGCCCCACTGGTCATCCTAACTGCCGTGCTCCTGCGTGCAAACATGCGAGCGGTCACTAACGGACTGACGGGCGGGTCGGGCGGCCGGTCCCTAGCCGACGGACGGGCGGGACACACAAAGCGCGCGGAAGGGGCCTGTTAGCAAGGCCGATCCGCCGGCTCACCTCTGCGCCGACGGATCCATCGGATGTCAAGGCGCCCCCCACATGCACCGTGCTCTGCTTTTCCAGGATCGGCTGCTGGCAAGGCCGATCCGCCGGCTCAGCACAGCGCCGACGTAACCATCGGATGCGGAGACGCTTCCCACATGCATCGTGCTCCGCTTTTAGGGAATCGGGCTGCAGTCTGACTCGAATATGGCAAAGGCACTGTACGCCGTGGCCATGAGCTCCGCAGTCCCCCATATGCACTGCAGGCCGCAGTGCGCGCAGGCGTCCGAGATGGTTTTTATGCACAACTCCGCCTCTGCCACGCCTGGGGCAACGATCGGCGCGTCGTCGGAGCACGCGAAGTCACTGGCGTGGTCGGTAGCGTCGCCGAGCGCGGCCTTCACGTCCCAGAGGAGGACAATCATCATCATGGCGAACAAGAGTGGCGATAGCGGGCAGGCATGGCAAATGCCCGCTTGGTGCGACCACTGCACCGAGGTCCTGCCGTCCTCGCGAACTTGCGGTTGGTGTAAATCGCCCAGACGATATCTATCATGTGCTTGGTAGACCGAAGCGGCGCAATGCTTCAGCAAGAACGTCGGGCATGGCGCTGTCGAAAACCTTCACCCAATCCAGCGCAAGTAGTACAAACGGTTTGTCCTCCCGCGCGATCGCCTCTTCCAATTTGCGCATCGCGATGAAAATGGCGTCGATGGCGCCACGCTTTGGTTCAAGCCTAAACTGCGGCCGAGGATTGCGGCAAGCTGGGGCGCGCAGGGCTGGCGGCCTGGTGCTGCGGCGCTCGCAGTGTTGCTGCGAGCGGCGAGCGCGGAGTTGGCGGGGGTGGCTTGGATAGACACTGGATCGTACTGGCAGGCCTCTGATGACGGGATGCCTCTGACAATGCCTCTCTCTGACAATGCCGGCGACATCCACGCGCTCGCCACGCTGCCCACATCGAGCGGTCGTTGGTACCAGGAGGTGCAAAGTGATTCGCTTACGCCGATCAGCCGACCTAATGGAGAAACGAGCGCCCTAGTGGGTTTTGGCTTGTGCGCTGGCACCGGGACGAGCTGCGATGGGTTCGCCATGTATTATGACCACGACTACTGGATTACTGGCCCCTTTCTGGGTTACTGGATAACTGGATTACTGCACAGCCAGCGCATGGATATCTGATTTCCCCGCATCCTGGCGACAGCTTCTTATGGAAGGGGGCTGACCGATGATAATATCGACATCGCGCTTGATGCATTTGCACACACACATAGACACACATTCGAATTCTACGTGAAATAGGTTGGCCGGGGCCTTAAGTGCAAACATTATTTGCCGACTGTGAGTTCCCAGATGAGTGGCACATCGGTGTGTGTGTGATGGAGGGGGCGTATACCGAAGACGCTTATTGCGAGCCACCGTCACCGTCTGCGTTTGTGGAAACGCTGGTGTAGCTAAAAGTTGGGCCAAAGTTTGGCCAAGCTGCCAAGCTATTGGACGTTATGCGGTCACCCAGCCGTTGACACAACCCAGTGGGGGAACAGTTGGCGGAGGAAGAAGGAATGCACATGAGATGGAGGGAGAGGAAGAGAAGGAAGAGGAGAAAAAGGATGAGGAAGCGTTTGGGGGCCTCTGAAGAGCCGCTTGGGGCCTCCTGGGAGCCTCAATTGGGCATGTGGCTCGACCCATTCCCCAGGACTGGCTTCGTATCGTCCGCCGCGATTCTTTCACGACCTGGGGATTTCACCCCACGCTGATTGCAGCGTCAGGATGGTGGCCAACAAGTCAAACTTCAAGCAGCTGCGTGATGAAGCCATGCGGAGAGAGTCTGGAAAAAGATGAGGCGCCCGCGTGGGCGTAGAATAACAATGCGAGCAGTCTCCCTCCTCTCCCCCCACCTCCTCATGCCTTTTCGGAAGCCCAATGGCCTTCTTGCTGCCAGTGACCCTGCGTGGGGGGGGAGGAGTCGTGCGGGACTCGGCTCGACAGGGGCAAAGAGGGCCCAGGGGATGAAGAGGAAAGGAAAAGGGACGGGGGAAGGCAGCGGAGGCAACGGAGGGGATGGGAAAGGGGGATTTTTCCTCCGCCTACACTTGGTTCTGGCGGCGTGGCCAGATAACGGCGAACAGCCCTACGCATGCGTGGTATCGGGGGGTTTGCGAGTTCCAAAAACCTGCCCCGACAAGGGCCAATGGGCGACTATACGGTCCTCCTTGCCACATATCGGGCGTTTGCGTTGCAAACAAAAACGGAGCATACGCGCCGCTTCGTGACGCCGCCAACCCACGACGCCAAAGCAAGGACAGGCTTTGCCGAGACCCAGGGGTTTAGTGGTCGCATAATGGCAGGACCGCTCACAAAACACGACCGTCTCTCCAACGTCGGCCTCTGGGCGCGATGTCAGCTTGCACCACTCGATATCGTGCGCGTGGGCTATCTGGGCTGCGCGCTGGAATCTATGGGGCGAATCTTCTGGCGGGCCCGATCGAGAGCACTGGACGGGGTCACCTTCGTCCTCGAACATCGCTTGCGCTGCCACCGGGACGGACCGACCTGAAGAAGCTCGTGAGCAATCCTGCAGGCTGGGATCTTTAAGGGGGCCGCCCGCTGCAGACATGTCCATTCATCTCGAGGCACTGGCCCCGCCTCGAATGCGCGGGAAGCAGCGTGCAGAAATTCATTGGCCCGAGCTGGATGGTCTTTTAGGAAAGCGAAGGTGGGGTCATGCAGCCTGCAGGCGACGGGCCCGGTCATTTCACCAGGCTCGCCACTCGGGAACGGTCTCGGAGCTCTCGGGAACCTCGACGTGGGCCCCCAGCTTGAGGAGCTCACGAAACGCCCCATCCTGCCAAGCGCCGCCCCACCAAGCGCCCGCGAATCGGCCTCTCGGGGCCGCGCCTGTGACGACCCAACGACGGCCCACAGAGAAAACGGCAGTGCAGTCGCCTATGTAGCTACACGTGCCTCGTGCGCCGCGCGCGTGGCGGGCGCGGCCGCCTGGGCAGGCGCGGGGGGAAGGGCCCCCATGCTGCGCGGGATGCCCCCATGGGGCGAAGCCGATCGATCTCCGGCCATGGGCTCGCTCGGAGCGGGGGAACAAGAATGGGGGGGGGCCTCAGTCGGCGGCCCCAGCGGCGGCGCAAGACCCCTCAGTTCGCCATCGTCGCAGGAGCGGCACGCCGCGAGGGCCTCGCCCCAGCGATCGCCCTGCCCCAGCCGCCCCGCGCAGAACCGCGGGCGCCCCAGGACGCGATGCGCAGGCGTGTCGGGCACTCAGCATTCCAAGCGCAGCGGATGCAGCAAGTGGCACCGCCTGTGCGCGAGGCCAATCGCCACGTAGGCCCCGCGCGTGGCGGCCAGGACGCGCCGCGTCAGCGGCGCGACGTACCTCTTGCCGACGACGCCCCTCAGGCCCCCCCACCAAACTCCTGGGCCGTCGTCGTTGCCGAGGCGACTCCGCGCGGCGGTGTCAGCTCGCACTTCCGTCGGCGCCATCGCGTATCGGTTGAACGGCTTGCCCGCCCCCCTTGGCGGAAAAACGCAATGTCGAGATCGCCCCGAGTCTCGGGGGCTCGAAGGCCGCGGCGTGTTTGGTGACCCACCTCGCCCACTTCAAGCACCGTAGCATCGCGCCAACAGGTCGCGCCTCGGGTCGGTCCTGCTGCAGATGGCGCGCGGCGCAGTCAATGGCCGCGCGTAGCTCCTCGGCCGAGAGGCCGCGCCCGCTCGCCTGGCGGCGGTCGGTCGAGCGCCGCCGCTCCTCCGCGTAGCGCACGACCCCCAACGAGACCAAGTCGCCCAACGGGTCGAGCCATGGCGGAACGGCACCGCGCGCGTCGGGCCTGGCGCGAGCATGCCCATGCAGGGCCTTGCCACAGGCCCGCAGCTGCTGGATCCCCAGGTCAGCGAAGCCCGTGGCCTCGCCCCCCCCACTTCGCAGCCGGGGGGGCGGCTGTGCGCCAGATCCAACGGCGCCCTGCAACGCGCGCCACTGCCCGCGGCGCCCTGCGCGCGAGGGCCATGCCCGAGCGCGCCCGCGTGCGCCGAACAGGCCCAGCTGAGTGCACCACCCGAGCGCCACCGGCTTGCCCGCCGCGGCCGATCGCGGCGCTCCGCGCGCGGCGCAGTCAATGGCCGCGCGTAGCTCCTCGGCCGAGAAGGCGCGCCCGCTCGCCTGGCGGCGGTCGGCCGAGCGCCGCCGCTCCTCCGCGTAGCAGACGACCCCCAACGAGACCAAGTCGCCCAGCGGGTCGAGCCATGGCGGAACGGCACCGCGCGCGTCGGGCCTGGCGCGAGCATGCCCATGCAGGGCCTTGCCACAGGCCCGCAGCTGCTGGATCTCCAGGTCAGCGAAGCCCGTGGCCTCGCCCCCCCCACTTCGCAGCCGGGGGGGCGGCGGTGCGCCAGATCCCGCGGCGCCCTGCAACGCGCGCCACTGCCCGCGGCGCCCTGCGCGCGAGGGCCATGCCCGAGCGCGCCCGCGTGCGCCGAACAGGCCCAGCTGAGTGCACCACCCCGCGCCTCGCGCGCACCGGCTCGCCCGCAGCGGCCGATCGCAGCGCCCCGAGCGCGGCGCAGTCAATGGCCGCGCGCAGCTCCTCGGTCGAGAGGGCGCGCCCGTTCGCCTGGCGGCGGTCGGCCGAGCGCCGCCGCTCCTCCGCGTAGCGACATCCCCCTCGAGACCAAGTCGCCCAGCGGGTCGAGCCATGGCGGAACGGCTCCGCACGCGTCGGGCTTGGCGCGAGCATGCCCATGCAGGGCCTTGCCACAGGCCCGCAGCTGCTGGATCTCCAGGTCAGCGAAGCCCGTGACCTCGCCTTCCACTGCGCAGCCGGGGCGGCGGCGCGCCAGATCCAACGGCGCCCCGCAATCTGCGCCACTGCCCGCGGCGCCCTGCGCGCGAGGGCCATGCCCGAGCGCGCCCCCGTGCGCCGAACAAGCCCAGCTGAGTGCACCACCCCAGCGCCTCGCGCGCGCCCGCTCGCCCGCCGCGGCCGATCGCGGCGCCCCGGGCGGAAGTCGACGCCCAGGTGCCGCGCGGAGGCGCCTTGCGCGCGCCGCAGCGCCCGCCGCCGCGCCTTGGGCGGGCGCTCGGGCCGCCCCAAGCTCTTCATAGCGTCGCGGGCCATCTCTGTGACAGCCGCGCCGTCGCCCTTGGTGCTGGCCAGCATCGCGCCCAACTCGCTCTCCATCGCAGACTTGAGGCCCCGCGCGCTGCTGGCCATCGGGCGCAATGCTACCCCGTCAAATTCGGCCGCCACCTCTTGGTCAATGTCGTCAACGTGGATCGCGAGCAGGACCTCGGGGCGCCGCTCCTGTTGCGCCGCGAGGCCCCCGCCGCGGAAGGCCGCCAGCGCGCGCGCGACCGAGCAGCACCCCGCGACGATCCCGTTGCCGGGCAGGTCACCTTGCGCCACCATGCCGCCCAGCCGAACGCGTTCGCGACGACCCTCGGGATCGGGGCTGGGAACTGCACGCGGCGCGCCAGGTCGATCAGCCTCGCGCGGTTGACCTTCTAAGGCCTTGGCCAAGTCCCACAGTCAGACCAGCTCCGCGACCATCTCGCCTGGACTGGCTCCTCGACCATCTCGTCTCGCACCGCCGACCGCCAAGCGCAGTGGGGGACCTTCCGCCACGCGCCAGGGCTGGCAAAACCCCAATTGTCGAGCACGCGCCGCACACGCGCAGGTGGCGCCACTGACACTTGCCCCACGCGCGGTGCCGAGGATGGGCCCCAGCGGGCACGCAGGTCCCCGCCTTGTACTTGAACGGAACCTTGCCCACGTCGTCGGCGGATGCGTCCGGGTGGCTGCGCCCCTGGCCCGCTGCCTCTACCATGGCATCGAGGGCCGCCTGGACCTCGCCGAAACGCACCGCGCCAGGGGCGCGTCGAGCTTATCCCAGTCTTCAGCCCACTCGCTGCGATACCTGTCCAGGAGCTTGAGTGGGTTGGCAGCGTCATCATGCACTGACTAGCGCTGCGTGGTGAGCTCAGGCTCGCAGCCCCCAGGGTCTGTCGACCATCTGCGCATCACCAAGGCGCCCTATACGAGATCCGCGTTGCGCGCCTCGCGCCATCAGGCTCTAGCCAGACGAGCCCCCATCAAGTGCTCCTCGCACGTCCGCTCGGCCGTCGCATCGGGAAATTCCAGCACGGCGAAGTACGTGACGTCCGTGGCTGGGGGGAGCTCCAGGGAACTGGGAGGCCCGTCAACGGCAGGCTGGCCGTCGATGGCGTCAGCGTCGTGAAAGTACGGCAGCGGGTCGTCCAGCTCCCTTTCCAAGTCGTCGAACGGGTCGTGGTCTCCGCCGAAGCAACTGGGGCCAAAATCTCCACGAGGCCCTCCACCGCGATCCGGGCCAAAATCTCTACGAAGATCGCCACCTCGATCCAACCCCATAATCTGTACGAAACTCTCAACCGCGATCCAGGCCATCACCTCCGGTGCCGTCTCCGCCGCGATCCGGGCCAAAATCTAAAATGTCGTCTCCTCCGCGGTCTAATCCAAAATCTCCACGGCCGTCCCCGCCGCGATCCAAGCCAAAATCACCCGAGCCGGCTCCGCCGCGATCAAAGCCAAAATGTCCACGAAGCTCTTCACTGCGATTCAGGCCAACATCTCCACGAGGCTCTCCACCACGAGCCAGGCCAAAGTCTCCACGGCCTTCTCCGGTGCGATCCAGGCCGACGTGCCCACGGTCTTCTCCGCCGTGATCCACTGCAACATCTCCGGCGACGTCTCCTCGCGATCCAAGCCAAATCTCCACGAGGCTCTCCACGGTAATCCAGGCCAAGATCTCCACGGCCGTCTCCGCCGCGATCCATACCACATACCAGAATCACCCAGGCGATAGCCACATTTGAACCTCACCCGCCCTCCAGATTCGAAACACTTGCACATTGCAAGCGTCAGGATGAAACATCATGAAGAAGTCTCGAACAAAACGCCAGGCCCATCCTACCGACACGTCGGGAAGTGCGACACGGAGAAATTATTTGCAGGGAAAAGAAATGGAGGAGGGGGGTCGGTGGAAGGCAAAGGAGGGGAAGGAGGACGGTGGAGAGGAGACGGGTGAGAAAAGGGTGGGGAATGGAGGGGAGTAGATGGTGGATGGAACACTGGGGGGGGGGCATGTGTCTCAGTGCCACGGCATTCGTATATGCTGCCAACCTGTATATGGAGTGTCCTCTGCGTGTCTTTGGTAGAATGAGGCGAATGGCTAGAATTACAAACAGCAGCCTAGCCCTCAGACGTTGGAAAATCAACAAAAATCTCGCGGGAAGAGACGGGAGTGGAGAAGGGAGGGAACGTGGGGCAAAGGTGAAGGAATATGGGAGGTTAAAGGGGGATGCGCGAGATGAGAGGGGAGCATTTGGGGAGGGGAGAGGTTATGGACTCGCGCGCAGGCGGGGATGGGAGCCACCTCGTCCTCCTCCTCCTCCTCCTCCTCCTCCTCCTCCTCCTCTTCATCCTTTCTCCTTCTCGTCCTCGTCGTTTTTTTTCGTCGTCCGCGTCGCTCTGCCCCCTGGAATCAACCAACAACTTAAGGTGAGAAACCTGGATGGGGGGCAAATTGGGAGGCAGCCAGGGGACGGTAGCCTTTGGGAGGGAGCCAACCCACGTGGAGGCAGACATGGTGGAGGGACAAGACTTGCGAGATCCAATGTCGCAACAAACAACACCACTCTCCACGATACGTGTCTGACCCTTCATTGAACAAAAACGCGGACGGAGGAGCACACTCTTGAATGCTGGCCGTGTGTCGCCAGGAAGTGGAGATCGTTCCCACCTAACACAATGGAATCCACACAAGAAACAAAAAGGGCGCGAGACAATCGTGACCAGAACTCTCGACATCTGCGGCGTCTCCCGAACGGGGTTGATCCCCGCGATGCCCCAGGGGCCCGAACCAGGGCGGATGCGCGCCCGTCGTGAGTCTTCACAGCGCCCAGACCCGAGGGGCGGATTCAGGGGGAACGACGTGGCGATACATCTCCGATAGATCGGCGATTGGCCCCTGATAGCCAGACTGCACGTGCGGGTTGGGAGGGGGCAATCGAGCGCCTATGGGCAATCAATGGGCGACTGGGGGTCGATGCATCCCCTCCTGAGCCTGCTTCCGCAAACGGTCGTCGTCGTCTGGCTTTGGGGTCATAAATCAAATCTCCAGCAGCCGTTCGGGACGATCTGGGCGGCTCTGGAGCGCCCTCGGCGAGGCGCAGCCGCTGGAACGCATCCCGAGGAAGGACAACCAGCAGGAGCCCACAAAAACGTCCGAAAACCTCGACAGCCTCCTCCCCCTGAGCCCATCCCTCCCTTTGAAAAGAGACTGACCGTCCTGCAATCTTGTAAGCCTACCACGCCATGTTCTTAGAACAAAATCCGCCGACCCTTCGACCTGGGTGCGACGCTGTCGTCGTCTTCGTCGTCGTCTTCGTTGTCGTCGCCAGTCCCACAAGCAAAAGAAACGTCGTAATTAAGCACATTCCCCCCATTCATCCCCTCCCCGACGGGGGGGCGAAGAGTACCCGGGGGAGGGGGGGGGAGGGACATTACGGGCGGGGGTACGGGGGGAGGGGGTGGAATTTACGGGCCCCCCCCCCTCCTCGTGGCCGCTGCGCCCCTCCCCTCCCCTCCCCGGTCCCTCCTGTGGACAGGGAGGTCCCCCCTGCGGGGGGAGATCCCAGAGAAAGGTTCCCTCCTGGCCCGTCTGGGGTCTGGGCGGGTCCTGGGGGCTCACCAGCGGAGGTCCAGGGTCCCCGGTGGGGTCGCGAGCAGGGTTCCCGGGGGAAGTCCCGCCTGTAGTCCCGGGTCAAAATAGCCCCCCCCAATCCCGGCGGGCCCTGGGGGGGTCGCCAGCGGGGGTCCCGGGGGGTCCCGCCTTCAGGGTCGGCGGCACCAGCCGTAAGGCCTTCACACAATAACAACAAAATGATTCTAGAAGGTGAAGCCGACTACTAAGACCAAGACGGTCTCACCCGGAAGTGTTCTAAGAACTTCCCGCGCAAATCACGAAAGTGTCTTCGAACATTCTTCGGTGGGCCTGCAGGCAAACAACAGCAGTGCGCTGGCCTGTACGTCTTGTTGCCCCCGCGCGGGCGTGGAGGGGGCGTAGACGGCGCCGGACCAGCGGCAGCGGCGCCGAAGCCTGAGCGGAGGCGGATGGGCGAGGTACTGTGGGGATCGGCTCGACTTGCAACAATTGCGCCACTTGCAGGTCGTTGCAACCCGCTTCCAGAACGCCTGCAGGTGGTGGGCTGCAAGTCCGAATAACTGCTCGAAACCAGACGAAACCGAGGACTAAACTTGGAGCAGGCGGACTTGCAACCCACTTGCAAGCGCCTTGCAAGTGGGTTGCAACCACCATGCACTTGTTGCAAGTCGGCGACCACTGCAATAGAAACAAAGGATGGCGACAACGCCACCGCCACGACCATCCTGAGGTCCAGGCGTTGCAGTGTTTGCTCACACCAAGCGTCTTCGCCTGGTTCGGAAACCAATGCAACAGAAAGACGGGGTCTGGGGCTCTGGCCGTGATGTTTCGCTAGGTGTTTTCTCGCATCGCCGGATCTCTGGGCAGCGCGAGGCGCCAGGGATGGTCCTCCTGGTGGTGTGGTCCCCCCCTTTCGCTCGAGACATCCCCGGCTGCCCCCCCCCCGGTTGTGGTGGTGCCGCTGCTCCGTCCTCCGACGCGAGTCGGGGAGGAGAGAGAATGGGAGAGAGGGGGCAGGGGGGCACCCAGACTTACAGGCCTCCCAAGTGGTGTGGTGTCCCAGCAGATGGGGCCCGAGGATCTCGCCGCATCGCCGATGCACCCGCAATTCATCGTCTACGCGTCGGCGATGCTTCGGCGACGTCGACGATGCATCGGCAATGCGGCGCGATCCTCCGACCCTATCTGCTCCAACCTCATCTGGGAGGCCTAGAAGACCCATCCCCTCATATCTCTGACGATCTGTTTTTGATTGTTTTTCCCATGCGATCGTATCTTATCGATTTCGGCCTCACGGGGCCCGTCGTCGGGAACGGGGCGATCAGAGATGGATCCCGGGAGAAAGACCCCTCCCCCGGGGGAAACATTCGGGGGCCGCGCGTTGAAAGCATGAGATCGGCGGATGTCTGGCTCTCTTCGCGGAGGAAATCAAAAACACGGGGAAACTTCTTCTGGTCACGTGGGATCGTCAAGAACTGCCCAGGAATAGACTCTGGTTCTGAGACAGGGTCCAGAGCTTCAGGGGTCCACGATGCGAGAAAAGTAGCGATGTCTATCGGCGCCTAGAGAGAAAGGGGCGTTGATGCCAGTCGCTGAATAGCGTGCTCGCGGTCGCTCTCGCGCTCCCCAGTAGCTTTGTTCAGAGATTGGGCCCAGCTGGCGCAACGGCTCCCTCCTGTTGTAGTGGTCGGTTTGACTTGCAACAGTTGCGCCAGTTGGAAGGTGGCTAGTAAAGGCGCATTGAGAAATCGAAACCACAATCAGAATGCGAAGTCGAGTCGGATCGGAATCAGAATCGATCGAAATCGAATCGATCGAGTCGGAGGGGTCGAAATGAGCCCTGGGACGGGGGAAGAAGGGGAGAGCGCAGAAGAATAACGACCTGCGTAAACATATATGTTCGGGGCTCCGCGCGGAGTTCTTGGACCGGCGCTGGACGCCCTCTCTGGCGCTGGACGCGCCGCCAGGGAGGCCAGCGCAGATCCAAAACATCTGCACGGAGCTCCAGAACATATCTAAGTGACGCTCTTGCGGATTCGAGGGAGGGAGGGGAGGGGGAGGGCGGGGAGGGAGGAGCGGGACGACGAGGAGGACGAGAAACAACACAAGGAGCACGAAAAGGAGGCAACGAGGGGCGGGGCGAAGTGGCCCTCCCCGAGATCTTCCTCGTCATCTCCCTCGCCACAGACGGAGAGGAGGAGGAGGAGGAGGAGGAGGAGGAGGAGGAGGAGGAGGAGGAGGAGGAGGAGGAGGAGGAGGGCAGGGAAACGGAGGGTGAGGACGAGAAGGAGAGCGAACGAAAGTCAGCCACCACGCATGCGCAGGAGGCCCAACGCGCATGGAAGACACACGACCGGCACACCGTGTGCGCCGAAGGCTCGCGCCTCCCTGCCACACTCGGCCATTCTGTGCTACGCCTTCTGGGCGCAGACGCGGTCCTCCTCCTGCGTGTCCCCCTCTCCTCCTCCTCCTCCTCCTCCTCGTCCTCCTCCTCCTGCTCCTCCTCCTCCTCCTCCTCCTCCTCCTCGTCCTCCTCCTCCTCCTCATGATCATCCTCATCATCCTCCTCAGGAGCTCTTGCATGTGGCGACAACTGCGTCGTTGACAGCGTCCAGGGAAGGGAGGTTTAGATTCATCTGCGTATGTGGTCACCCCGGTGATCCTCCCAGGAGCTCCCCTGAGCCTCTCATACCTGAGCCACTCACCCACAGTCGTTGTCCCTGACTGGGACCACCTCTCGGTCAGAACTCAAATCTACTGCGGCCGATGGGGACGATCCGGGCACCCCCGGAACGCTCTCGGCGGAGCGTAGCTGCTGGAAAGCATCCCGAGGCTGGAAGAGCCCCTGGGGGCCTGCGGAAGCGTAGGGAAACCTACGAACACCTTCGACCACCTACCATCTGTTATGTGGAATAAATGTAAGCTCCGGGCAACCTGGGCAACCTGGGCAAGCTCCGTTCCTCCATCGCAGCAAAGAAACATATACCTACAAAAGCGTCCGTCCCCTCCCTGAGTCCCCCCCCTGCTGTTGCCCCGGAATTGAATAGAGACCGACCGTCCTGGTTTCCCTAGAGAGGGCTACAACGACATGCTCCTAGAACAGAAGAGTGTTCCCAACACGCACACACACACACACCAGTGACGTTCCCACTATAAATTAACCGATGCATGCAGCTCTGCCTCTGCCATTAATGTAAAAAGCACATCTTGTACTAGCCACAACAATATCTTATAACATTTGGCAGGCTCACAGAACACTGGACCAACAAACAACGTTCCATCATTTGGGAGGTTGATGTTTACTTCCGCGGCCTTCCGCCGAGCTTCCGCCGGCTGCCCCGCCTGCGGAGGCAGCCTCGTTTGACTGCCGCCGCCCTCCGTTGGTTTTCCGCCGAGGAAGAGATGACAGCTCCCTTCGATGCTCGAAGGCGAGGCCCCATGTTTGGGCGGGCCTACAGACAAGCCAGGACGCTTCGTCACAGCTTGACTGAAGTGGTGGGGGAGCCTGACGGCGACGGCAGCGCGGAGGCGCCGGTGGCGGCGTCACGCCGACGCGGGGTCCGCGGCGCCCCGGACCTGGAGTCGGTAATTACGCCGTCCTGACCGCGGAATGCGCTCGGGGGGCGGGGGGGGGCCCTTCCTTTCTTTGAAAGGGGGAGGGGGGAGGGGGAGGAGGTGGGGAGTGGGGAGGAAGATGGGGAGCGGAGGTAGGTGAAGGGAAGGAGGCAGGGATAGGGGGAGGGAGGAGGAGGAGGAGGAGGAGGAGGAGGAGGAGGAGGAGGAGGAGGAGGAGGAGGATTGTTGACAATCTTGCGGAACCCGCGGCCAACGCGGCCCGGGGAAAGGGGGAGGAGGAGGAGGAGGAGGAGGAGGAAGAGGAGGAGAAGGAACAGGAGGAACAGGAGGAGAAGGAGGACGGGAGGAAGCAGAGGAGGAGCGGCAAGATGAGACGCACACCTCCTTGTGCAAACGTCCGCCGCCACGCGCAGGCCCCCCCGCGGGTCTGGCCCGAGGCGCCGCGCGAGGGGGGCCAGGAAAGGGGCATGTGTCCCAGCCCGAGTTCGTGATGAGCCCAACCTGCGGCTGCCTCGCGCGCGCCGCGGACTTCACGTCGCTGGCATCCCAGAGACCCTTCCCGCGCGCGCATTGCGTGCACCAGCGCCGCGCACGAGAGTCCGAGAAGCCGGACCTTCGCTCCAAGCTCGCCCAAGTTCCAGGTTGTCCGTGTCCCTGCGCACCGTGTCGGCCAGTCCAGGAGCCGCGTGCGCGCACATAAGCAAAATATGGTCTGCTACTGCGAGCGGCTGCACTCTCGAGCAGCATCCTTCCAAAATTCTGGCTTGATCTCTAGTATGTCACTCCACTGCAACCCGCTTTGATTGCAGGTGGCTAAGGCGTGCTTCCCACGCACAACGCGGTCGGCCTCTCCTCCGCTTCTGGGGAGGGGGGTTCGGGATAACGGAAAATGGTTGAACAAAAACTGCCTTGCGAACTGGGTGATCGTTGCTTCCGCGTGTAATTTTAGCAAGAAAGACTAGCTGCCGCTGCAACAGAAGGCTGCTCAATTTTACGCACCGTGCCTGTTCGAGAACATCTGCGTTGGAGACGAGGCCGATGTACGAGCGCTCTATGCCCAAGATATTCTGGACGCACCGGGCTTGGAATCCGTCAAAACGGGCTCGTTCGGCGCTTCTCAGCCGAGCCGTGTGTATGCTGCACAGCAACTTGCTAAGGACGCACGCCTCAAATATGCGCAGCTTCGGGGGCTCATATATTACAGCGTGGGACCACATGCGCGCCAGGGTCTCGAATTCCGCCCTTGCCGCGCCGATGTGCCTGCTCAGCTCGGCTTGCATGCCGCCGTCCGCTGAGGGCTCGGCCAATCCAGACGGTGCCAATGCCGCCACCAGGGCGGCGCGCAGTGTCTCGAGCAGGTGATGCAGGACTGCCGCTTGGCGCCCGCACAGGGCGCGATCAGCACGCGGGTGGCCGCCCTGCCCCAGATGGCAGAAGCTAGTGTTGCCGCCTGCGGGGTCAGGCGCATTTGTTGCGCGACCAGAACCTGAATCTGCAGCTGGACCAGCTGTTGCTGTAGGGCGACGTTGTCTCTAGCGCCCCCTTAGTTGCCGCGGGGCCGCAGGCGCGAAGCCAGGCTGCTGCGCGTGCCTGGGCACACGTCCGCGCGCTGGGGCGGCCGCCGCTGGTCAGGTGCCTGGCTGGCGGCCTGAAGCGCCAGCCATTGCCGCCCAAATCCCTGGACTGGCGGAGCCCGTCATAGTTAAGGGACCGCTCGCAAGACTTCCCCATCGCGACCAGCTCGGAATCTGAGATGGTAATGGGGGGAACAGGCGCGGTAGGGGGGGCAGAAGAGGGGGACGCGCACGAGGAGGCAGAGGCGAGTCAACTAGCACATTGGGCGAAAGGCCCCAGCCCATCCCCCCAGCCACCCACAAACCCAAACAACCGCGCCGGGCTGTTTCGGGGCAGACGGGCGGGCAACGCATGCAGGGCAGGCGGCCCTTTCGAGAGCGGCAGGCAGGGCAGGCGGCCCTGTCCCGGGAGGCGCCGGCCCAGCCCCCCAGCCCCCCAGCCCCACCACCACCACAAACAACCGCGCCAGGCTGTTTCGGGGCAGTCGGGCGGACAGGGCACGCAGGGCAGGCGGCCCCCGCGCTAAAGGCGAAACAGGCCCATCCCCCCAGCCCCCCACCACCCCCATCAACTGCGCAGGGCTGTCTCGGTGCAGCCCGTCCGCTCTCATCGCCGCCACCAGGGATGCAATGGGGAGGGGGGGGGAGGAAGGATGGAGGAGGATGGAGAAGGCCGAAGGAGGAAGGGAGGAGGGAAGGGGGAGAAGGGATAATGGAGAAGGATGGAGGAGATGGGAGGAAGGAGGGAAGAAGGAGGGGGTAGGGAGAAGGAGGAGGAGGAGGAGGAGGAGGAGGAGGAGGAGGAGGAGGAGGTGGAAGAGGAGGACAAGGAGGTGCACTGCCCAAACACGAGAAGAGAGGGTGGCCAAGAGCAAGAGACGAGAAGAGGGCAAATAATCCACAGGTCCTCACCCTACCTCCCAGCTCGCAAAGGCCGTGGCTGGTATGACCGCGACAACGTCGCGAGAGATTGGGCTCCGCAGAGCCATAACTCCGACACGCCCATGGATACATTCGCGCGCACACCGAAAACAACGAAGACCGCTAGAACGGAAAGAGCGAAACGCGGGTCGATGGCAACGGCAGAAGAGATTGACTGGGCAGCACTAGCGTCAGATGTCAGATAAAGAATGGAACATGCGCGCGGGCGCGGATCATACCAAAAGGAGGAGAACCGAGGGAGAAGAGCACGGACAAGGGGGAGGGCACAAGGACATCTCAAATAAAGAACAATCGGGTCTCCTCCAAGGGTCTGGCACCCGAGCAAACAGGGGGTTAATCCTTGTTTAGAACGGCGGGCCGCGGGCCGCCAACTGTTGACTCTGGTGCGGATCCAAGAGACCTGGAGGCATCCAGGGATTTTAGAGGCAACTAAACTAAACCTTATAACAGGCAGCACAATCGAAATAGAGAGATCTGAACAAGGGCACAAAATATGTATCAGCCGCCGGGTGGTGGCGAAGAAGAGCACGACACGTCTTGTTCGGAATGCATTTAACAAGTTCCTGAAGGAAATCAATGTCGAATCATAATTACGTTTCAAGTTTATGAAAGTGCGACTCGCAAAAACAGGCTGCGTGGCGGATGTGAGGATATACTCATCTCCTGCTAATATTTTGTCGAGCATCTCCTGGGCTTGGCGGAAGGAGACACAGGCAACGGCGACGCGGTTCATGGCGGCGCGATTCGTCACCTCGAAACTTTGTGCACGCACTTTCAGCCCTGCACCGTCTAACCTTGAAAAGAGCTCGCGTGGCATCGCGTGCCTGGGCACGCAGGCCAACCGCTGCAGGCAATCCTTCTCGATCTGAAGCGTGCGCTTCGTGACGGGGTAGAACTGGGCACGTAGCCAAGCAGGGGGGGGGGGAATTGGTGTTGCACAGGACCAGCGACCTCACAAACCCTCGATGCAAGCTTTTGATGTACACGACGGAGCCTTGGCATTTTCGAACGTAGCTCCTCACAGGACAATTCCAGACCACGAAGCCCAATATACACCACAAGATATTAAGCAGGTTCAGCAAACTGCAACCTGCCTGCCCGAAGGCCCTGCTCTCGAAGCAGGGTCAGAATCAGGTGACGGTCGAACTCGCGATGCAGGATGATCGCGAGCAACTCGACATTGAGCGCGACCCCGCCAGACAATCCAGCATCGCACACTTCGCGGAGTAGAGGCCGGGGGGGGGGGGGGGCATGGGTGACGCTGCACGAGCAGTGGCTGATCTCACCGGCGAGGATGGACAGGTAGGAGGGTGGGGCGGGCAGGGCACGCATGATTGCCCTAATGATGGGCCAAAGTGTCCAAGTGAAGATGCTCCGAGAGATCGGACATCCCTGCTTGGCCCCACGCAAGATAACATGCCCAGGATGAGCGGAGCCTCCGAACAAAAACATCCAGACAACCATGCCCCGATAGAGAGCCAGTTGAACCTTGGCAACGTACTGAGGGGTCCTCATGGCCGCGAGAACCCATCATATGAAAAGGGTGCGCATGCGACGGGAAGGCGGGGCAGAAAACCAGCAGCGCTGCCTCGGCGTGCTGGCGACCCATGACCGCGCTCCACATGGCCAGCTGGGCGTCGGAAGAAATTATGTTCTCGGTGATCTGACGACCGCGAATGAAGCCCCGTTGCCCCTGCGTAACACTGGGGGGGGGGGGGGGGGCGCCTGCTGAGCGAGAGGGGCGCCAGTGGCCGCGGAAACTATGTTGTCGGCAGCGCCACTCAGCGAGAGGGGCCTCTTTTCTTCGGGAGACTTGGGCATCCTGTGCGCCGTCCATTTCCTCGGGGAGGTGCAATTGCATGCAATGGTTGAAATCCTTCGGAGGGGTGGAGGGGGGGGCGCGCGAGAGCAGCTCCTCGCATGCGCCCCGCAGGATAAATATCCCCACCAATACCATCAGCAGCAGCGCAAGGAGAGAAAGGGGCCCCGTCGGGGCCAGGGGGGGGCTGGAACCTGGAAGCCTCATCCCTGAAATCATCCGGGGATAATGTCCAAGCAATCTCGCGAAACACAGGTTGGGCAAAATCTCGGAATCGCTCAAATCTGATCGGGTTTAACGCGCCGTGCACCTTGCCCCCGTGAGCGCAGAGCAGCGCGGCGCTTCTCTCAGGGCCCGAGTGAGCCTCGCCATCGGGGCCCCGAATGTCACGCAAGTGAAAGCGACGCCGAAGAAGAGATCATGCGTCGCTTTTCCGCAGCAGCTTATCGTGGCGCCGTTGGCGGACAAGTTTCAGCGACAGCGCCGGGGCGCGAGGGTGCTTAGCGATCGAGTTCGACGTTGCCCCTGGCGGACTCACTCATCCTATCGAGAAGCCCTGGATAGCCGAACCATTCCAAAAAACCGGCGGAAACGCATTGCCGAAGGTAAGGAAGAACTCCCCGGACTTCGCGAACTTTAGGGCGATCCCCATTGCCCGTGGCGCGCTGGAGGGCAACGCGCCACGCGA